TTGTGCTGCATGGAAAAAGACAGCTTATTTGTATAAAACCTTTGCCTCCTAATCAGTTTTACAAATTTCTGTACTGTGTTGTCTTAAATTGACCTACTGAATAGGCCATCCTGCCATAGAGGCAAGATTTGTGACCTTTGGCAGCAGTGTTCTGCATAGTTTAGTGAATTAAGCACTCAGAATCAAAGATTCACCAAAATTAGATCTGTAAAATTTGATCATGCAGTGATTTATATGTGCAAAACTCTATTCTGGTGCACACAGCAGCTAATTGCATGCACAAATTTATATGTATAGAAACACGTTTTATTAAACAGAGTCAGATACTTGTGGGTTATGATCTTCCTTGTAAAACTTGACTATTTGAATTCCATTTAGTAGTTGTCACAGCAGCTAGCTTGAAAACCACTGTGAAAGTTTTGGAACTAGTGTTCTCAGGGTCAGGCCCTGGCTCCTTCCACCCAACATATGACCATCTAACTGGTCTCCACATCCAAGGGTGGAGGAGGCAAAGTGCCAGAGGACATCTTCTTAACAGACTCTTATGTCACAGCTCTATGCTCTCATGTAAGAGAACTCTATGTAATAAATAAATAAAAAAAATAAATTAAGCCCTTCCCCCCCCCCCGGTAGTTTTTAACTTCCACACTTAAATCCATAGTATCTTATTTTTTGTAACAATATTATTAAACATGAAATTAGCTTGCCTAGTAGGACTGCCACCCATCTGGGTTTTTACTTGGACAGTCCGGGTTTTGGCTTCTGTGCCATTTAGGGTTGCCAGGTGCCCAGTTTTTGACCAGAAAGTCCAGTTGTGATGTACTGACCGGACACCAAAAGTCCATTTACTGTGGGGCAAGGGGAGGAATCAGGTCATTAACTCATGTCGGTCCCTGCTCAGCCAGAGCCGCCTCCTACCTGCATGCAGGCTCTTTGTCGGGCTGCAGCAGGTCCTGCCCCAGCCCTGGAACAGAGTGAGCCCAGATGGGCAGGGGGAGGTAGGTGGAGATAATCCAGCAAGTGACTGGGGAGGGGAGGAGGAGCGAACAGTGAGGGAGGGAACTTGGGGGCAAGAGGTGGAGCATGGGGGTGCCTTGTGGGAAGAGGCAGAGAAAGGGGCGGGGTCTGGGGAAGAGGCAGAGAAGGGGGTTGGGCTTTGAGGGAAGAGGTGGAGCAGGGGTGGGGCCTCAGCGGTCCAGCTACCAGCAGTTAGAAAGGTGCCAAGTCTATTGCCTAACTATTGTATAAAAATCCCATCCACTTCTGGTCTTATCAAAACAAAAGCAATATTTCATTGATCATAAAAAGATAAGTAAAGTGGCAGTACATTTCCTAACTTTTTTACAACATATATAATACTTAAGAAATCAAATTATGTCATTGATATAACTTTTTAAAATTTAACTTATACCTTAAGTAGAATAATAGATCACGACTCCTTTCCTGACACTTTAATACTTTCTATTTATGCATTAATTGTAACTATCTAAGCTTTCATGTATAAATGATCTGTGTCAATCTTTAATTCACTTCACTCCCTCGGTGTCACACAAGTCTTTTATTAAAGAGAGTTTTTAAAAAATATATAATATTTGTGTTAACTTGCAATGGAAATTATTCATGCCTGGTCTATAGTGCTATCACTACCAGTAGAGTGCATAGCTCCTATGAGATCATATGTGAAGGCCTGCCAGACTAGCTTGCATGCCATCTTTAATTCATTCCTTCTAATGAACTTTTTTTGTGGGGCGGGGGGAGAATGGTCTGTGGAATGTTTTGCCACCAATTCCACATGACCAGACAGATGCCACAGAAAGTGTTTTGTGAGCACTGTGATTAGTCCCTTACTCTTAATTTCTTGCTTAGTCCATCAGATCATGATCACTCTTGGACTGGTGAGCTTCCTTTCCTTGAGTCCAGTGGTCCATGCAGCTGCTCTTTAAAGGAGTTGGTTCTGCTCAAGCAGCTGACTGGTAGGCCCAGGTACCATTAGCAGTATTGCCAAACCAAATCCTTCAAAAATCATGGGGCAGGCCCCCCAAAGTTGTGAGATTTTAAAAAGCAATAAATCTGCTTTTTTTATTGGACTTCTGATTTTTAGACTGTTTCACATTTTCAAAAATCTCTCCTCAACCATGAGGGCTAGAAATTCACCCTTTTTTTTTTTTTTTTTAAGTGAAAGCTAAGGTTTTTCAAGTCATCACATGGTTCCAGAAGCTGGGATTTAGAGAAAACTACCAAATATCATGACTATTAATAACATTGCAAGAGTTGGTAACATTGCTGGAGCTTTGGTGACACTGCCTCTCATAAGAGTGGACTTAATATATGGAGATATACCTATCTCATAGAACTGGAAGGGACCCTGAAAGGTCATTGAGTCCAGCCCCCTGCCTTCACTAGCAGGACTGAGTATTAATTGTTTTGCCCTAGATCCCTAAGTGGCCCTCTCTAGGATTGAACTCACAACCCTGGGTTTAGTAGGCTAATGCGCAAACTACTGAGCTATCCCTCTCCCCTCCCCCTTAGCCTAGGGTCTTCCCAAAAATCTATAGCTGTTGTACTTCTGAAGCCCAGAATTGTCATCTTGCCGTAGAGGCTGAGTTCTAGAAAAAATAATGTTTTGCCTTAAGTAAGTGTCTTTGTATTTATTATGTTGTGTAAAATTATTGTTCATGTATTTAATTCATTTTAAAAATGGCAACATTATCATTTAAGGCCTGATCCTGCAAACCGTTGAACACTACCTGAGGTATGGTGAATGCCCTTAGCTCCCCATGAAGCACTCAACATGTCTCAGAAAGCACTGAGCTTTTCAGTATCCAGCCCTTTAGCATTACATTTGAAGGGGAACCTGATGGCAGTTCCTGAAACACTTACAGTGGCAGTTTTCATCTTTGTTTTACCATTTTGTCTGGGCTATGGAAAAGCAGCAAAATGGTTACTCAGACCTGGAGCATTGCAGATATTCAGCTGTTCACATGAGATCAGTTATTGTATAGCATTAGAAATAAGGCCTTTTTCCCCTTCTTCCTTGCCTGTTTGATTTTCACATGCAGCTTTTTCTCTATTTCCATTACAGAAATGGGCAAAGTAGTACATTTTTGTTTTTCATTTGGAACTCGCAAGTGCCCAGATTCTGATGAAAAAGTTTCCTAGGGAAATATTGCATAAGAGATTGAGATTTTTACATTCAGTATACTATAATGACACTTTGCCATGTAAATAACAAACTGTGCTCCCCCCAACTTTGATTATTGTGTAGCTCTCAAACATTAGTATCTTTTATTTTTCTTCTAGAAAATTGAGAGAGGATGGAGGTTTCTGATTAAAAATAAGAATATTATTAATTTAAAATGTGTTAGATATACTTACAGCAATGTCGAAATGACTCTGCTTTCTGCCCAAAAACAACAGTAGTAAATTTGGAATGTCTTGTACTGTTGGAACACAGAATTTTATGTCAGTACAATTATTTTCCTTATGTACAATAATTCTGATGACATTTGCATAGTAATAATCATGATAGTGTGATAGATTATTCAGGTTTCTAAAGATTGTGGTGTCCATACTTATTAATCCCATATGAAAAAAAAAAGAGAGTCCCTGGTATTTTTAATGTCTTCTTATAAAAATAATGAAGTCACTATCATTTTAAAAAGACAGAATTATATTCTTACACCCTGAAGGCTTCACAAAAACGAGATTCTCTGTAATAATGTGAAAGTGCCCAAAGTAGATCAGACATGGAGAAGATACATTAACATATTTGTAAAGGAAAAGTACTCTTTCTTGGCTTTTGTGGCTCATATATGCCATAATGCTACAGTGTTTTACAGTCCTTGCATTGTCCATTAGTGCAAACATGTCCAGATGAATTCAGCGTTTAATGTTAAAAATCTTATAACATGCCAGTTTGATTTGTAGCCCTTCATATCATAGAATGCTAATTAAAATCATATTTTTGCATATGTCATGCCTTTCATGTACATATGCAAATAGATTCTATTGCCTTTCAGCTATTAGTAATTAACTTTATGAAGGACAGCTGTAATACATAATTAACAAAAATGTTTGCAAGCCCTTTTTCACACTGAAAGTTACAGCAGTAAAATTTTTGCTTATCAAGAGAACCATTTTAGTTTGAAGCTTCAGTCTGATATCTAAATTGTTTGAAGTAGTCACATGATATCCTTGAATTGATGTTAATGGTGTTATCACCGGAAGAACGTTACTCAATAGGCTCCTATCTTTTTCATTATGTATGTCACCAAAATTAAATTACTGTAATTGAACTGCTTTGTGTTTGGTATAAGGCATAATGTCGGGTAATACATTTGTTGTTGTTGTTGATGATGATGTCTTGGTGCCACTTGGGAAAAATTCCTGTGCACAATGTAATCACAAACATTATCTCCCCATAGCCACAAAAAGAAATCCTAGCACTACAAATGCTATTATTTTTTTCACTATGTAGCTCCTTAAATAATTAATATTTTGAAGGTTGACCAAACACAAGTAATGATTAAAGGCCTGATCCCGCTCTCCTTATTCATGCAGCATTCTTACTGAAGTCAATGGGACTACTCACAAAAAGAAGGGTTGCAGGTTTTAAGGTTAAATAAATAGAAGGTTAGAGAATGTTATATAGGTAAAAAATACATTTGTTTTTCAGTATATTACATAAAGTGTTTTTAAACTGCAGAGGGAATCAAGAACAAAATTATTTCATATGTTGACAAGTGATTTGTTTTTATGATTGTTTTATCGTATATCTGTGTAAGAAAACCCCAGATTTGATGTAGATCTGTAAATTTATGTTATTACGGTATAGACTTTCAAATTTAAAAGTAGGTTATGATATCTTGATCTAACAGTTAACTGATTAGATTTCATCTTCAATAAAATATGCTTAAGTATGTGTTTAAAAAAATAACCCCACCCATTTTTACAAATATTTTGGTAAAAGCCAATTAAAATTAATCTTTTTTTATTTTTAGGGTGGCCTTTGTGATGAAAAAACACTTAAATACTCACTTACTGGGCAAGCATGGAGTTGGAACACCAAAAGAAAGGTAAAGTACACTATTTTGCTAGTTTACACAAATGTGTTTATGTATACTGCAAAAATCTTTTAAGATGTATTAACTACTCTGATTTGGAGTCTATTAATATACCATATACATACATTTATTTTATATAATATATAGGCATGATCCTGCATTCCTAGCCCACCCAAAATTCCCGCTGGAGTTGTGTGCATATGGAATATAGGTTTGGGGCTGGCTGGTCCTTATTCAGTGAAGCACTTAAGCAGTGCTTAATTTTCAACGTGTGCTTAAATCTCACTGACTTCAGTGGGAATTAAGACATACTTAAATGATTTGCTGACTGGGGACTCCATGGGTCTTATCGAATGCTCACTGAAGTCAATGGAAACATTCCCATAGACTCCAATGAGCGCTAGATCTAATTTTGTTTTTATTAGAGTATGGCCCAGGCAGTCATATTGGGCAAAACTTCAGTAGTTGTGTCTTGGCTTCCCAAAGACAAAACCAAAATTACACACAACCCATTTTTGTTTTTGGATTTGGTGCTTATAAGTTTATAAAATATTTTACATTTTCAAACCAAAAAATAGGCCCCGTTAGGTTTTGTTGATTCACTGGAATCACAACCACAGAGATAAGTGTGGGATCTGGAGACAAAAATCCCCCAACCTTCTCAAAATTTTGAGGGTAGGGCCAGAGGAATTTGGTGTTAGGTTTTGGCCCATCTCTAATTTCTATACGTTTGTTCATTTACTCAAGTTTTTTATAAGTTTTTACAAGTTTTGTTTATAAAAATGTATTTTTCTCTTTTAAAATGTACCTAGAATGCTTCATATTTTAAAAATATCTTATCACTGAAACAGTACTATGTTTACTAGGTCATCAAATATCAGATTTTGCTCCTCATTTGCATCATAGCTAATCCCACTACATAGAGTTAATGACTTTTTAGGCAAATTGAAATTTAACTGCCAAACAAACTGCCAAAACAAAACATTTACTGAAATCATCCAGTTAAATAATGTTTAGTATTCACCAGTGTGGATGTTCCTTACATACAGTATTCATCACTGTAAAAGTGCAGTGAGATCAGAATCCCGGAATAGGTAAAATGTTTTATCATGGCAAGAAATGGAAAAGTTGTATCTTTGCCATAATAAACAATATAAAATTAATATTTTAGGGGCTTTTTATTTAAAAAAGAAAAGTATCATGGCAAACAATATTTTAACTATTCCGTTTTTTTACAATAAATTATGAAGAATGTCAAATATTTATTTTACAAAAATTGTTTTCAGGTATGTAATACCATTTAGCTAATATTTAAAAACCTTTAATAAAGAGCATACTCCATTATACTGGACATATATAGATCCAAATTTTGGAAAAATCATGGGAAAATGGGTAACTAACACCAGGATATTTTATGTTTTAAGGATGCCCTAAGTATCATGTTTTTTTGTTACAGAATTCATAGCTTGACATACTTTAATTATAGAACTATCAAAGTCCTAATTATTGTCCTGGCAGCTGCCATTTTGATTTACTTCTATTGTATTTTTAAACTCTAAAATCTTTTTTTTCTTATTAGAATATTAGTTATTTTTGTAAGTGTCACAGGATTGTGAGCCATGCTACTTCTTCAAGCATTACCTATGCACCCTGTTCATGATCAAAGAAGTGTTTTAAACCGAAAAGCATTCAAAACTTCAGATACAGATAGAGGAGTTCCTCTTCAGAAGAGGGAAAGTAAATGGTGGCTTCAGTATGGTAGTAAAAATTCCATGGTACAATCAAAATACTTTCCTTTGGCCTTATTCAGCTCCCATTAATGACACTAGAAATGGAAGTAGATCAGGCCCTTTTCCCTATGAATTTACCATACGTTACTTTTCAAATGACCTTAATATAGAGTATTAAACTAACCGATCATCCTCTGGCATGCTCATATGTTGTATATATGGGTAGTGTGTATTTTTAACACTTTATCCCTTTTGGTGTTTAAGCCTTTTTGCAAAGTTTTCTCTTACGCTTTGTTCAAGCAGAATTTTAGTTATAGCATTATTACATCAAAATTATTCAGATTTCCATTTTTTTCTGGACTATAGCATAAGGCATGGAAGAAAAATTATTACATTTACATCAAATCAGATATAACTGGTATAAATTGTTAAATGAAAACTGTTAGTTTATATTTGTTATCTTTTTTGGTGGCACAGTGGAATTCTGAAAAATATTTTGCTCTTGTGGTTTATGTTGTCACGAGAAGCACTCTATTCAAATATATCCTTCTACAAAGGGGTATTTACTGCCTATTCATCAGAAATACTGCATTGAAATAACTTGTATTACCCTTGTGAATATGTGTACAATAAAATATGCACACATCAGATCTCCAAATACACTATCTGATCCTGAGAGGCACATTTTTAGTGTTCACCATCTCAAATGAATTCTTTAAACAATGGATGCTTTAATCTAAAATAGTGTTATTTTTTTTCTGGAGCCCTCCTACATGCTCCTGTTTCCCCCCATCTTCTCCCACATTCCTCAAAGGCTTTTTGAACCATCAGCCAGTGTAGGGTTGCAAGAGAGTGACATGATGTGTTCCCACCTGTCACAGGCTTTAGCAAGCTGCTTTCACAGCACTCCAAGCCCTTGCTGCCCTGGGAGCAAAGAACCAAGCTCAGGACACTAACCCCAGTGTCCCATCTGGTAGCATACTGTGTTGCAGCTATTACCCCTCCCCCGGCCAGCATAAACTAGTGATTTTTGAGTGACTTATTCTCTCTTTTAAAATCCCTTATTTTGTCTTTGAATATTTCTTATTCATAATACTGTTTTATCTGGCATGTCCTCTTAATGTACAGCAACATCAAGTAGTAGTGGCAGGACTATAACAGCTATATAATTTCCTAGTAGCAGTCCCTTGCTGGTGATGGGTAAGATTAAAGCAGTATAATCTAGTACAGTAAATGCCCAAACACCACTCTTTCTCTTTCCACATTTCCCCTCACTTTCTGAAGGAGTGTGATGGCTTTTAATGGCTTTAGGAACCAAAGAAACTCTTCATCAGCATGTTGAACCATCACTTTGGGCATAACTGTTCTCTAAATTAAGTTACGTAGTTTTCTTACCTATTTAAAACATTAATGCCTTGACTATAATTTTGCAAGCTTGCTATATTTTAATTTCTCTAGGACAATATAATCAGTTTATTCTTTATGTTTTGAATTAGATTTTGGCCTCTGATACATTGCCTATTTTAGCAAATACTAATAGAAGTTAGCTAAATAGGCTGTGACAATTAAATTAATAATGCATTTTGTTTGCAAGTGTTTAGTCTTCATGGTTTGACTGATATATGCAAAGATGGTAATTTATTAAAAATAAATTCATGTAATTGTACTACAGAGTTCGATGGACCAAAAAAAGTTGTCAGCATGACTATCATCAAAAACAGAAAATTGAAATAAGTTCAAAAGGGTACATTGAAAAAAATGCTAAAATACTGTAAACACTGAGAAGTTAGTTGTTCTTTTAACAAACTTCTTAACAAAGTATTTTTGATGACAAGTACTGTGGCAGTTCTGAGAAAAGGAAAACCTTTTGTAATCCATGCAGTGATGCTGGACTTCGGTAGCTTATTCTCTGCTACTTTACATCCTCCACAAGTATTAATCTTCAACATGATACACAAAATGAAGGTGTTTTGGAGGCAGTGCTCAGCATGTGCTCATGCAAATCAGGAAAGCAAGCATAATGCATAATGAGTAAGGTTGTTCTTAAAACATTTTTATGTGGATCTTATTTGAAAGGGAAAACATGTTTAAAAAGAGAAATTATCACAAAATGTAATGCAGTTAAAATCAAATAGGCTTATAGTAAAGAGAATTATAGTGAAATGCTTATGTATTTCAACAAAAAGTACTGCCTAGACCATTATGGTCCATTACCAGAGAATAGCTAAATCAGAAGGAGAACATTTTTGTACAAAAATTCCTCTGTTTTTTTTTTTAAATTTTATTGGAACTGTGATACTGATTTATTGTCAACTTGAATGTGCTTCAAAACTGGTATGTTATCTACCAAGTTCAAGGCCAGTACATATTTGGTAGTTCAGTATCAGTAATCTTCATGGGACCTATAACTATAACTATATCTTATTGGCAGGATAAATCTTTAGTTACACCTTTTATTATATGTTGTAGACAATGTGGTCTGGTGGTGAGGGAAAAGACCAGCAATGATGGTGCTGAGTTCTAATTTGTGTTAAGTCAGTGACAAGCCAGCAGTGACATTATCGTGCTGCAAAACTGGGCCAAAGAAGGATTTCACTGAAAAATGTATCTCTGAGCTCACCTGTGTGTGTGTGTGTGTGTGTGTGTGTGTACGCACTCTCCCTGCCCCCCCCCCAAAAATGAACTAAAAGCCACTAGGACATTCATCATCTTAAGCGACTTTTTAATTATGAAGCATGGCTCAGGTTTAGAAATGCTTAATCTGAAGAGGTACATTTAACTGTCCTCCAGACATTTTTACATAATGAGGGTAATTGCTATAGAGTATTTATTTTATACATCTTGTAGAACATGGTAACTATGATTTCATTGTTCACTAGAACTCTGTCTATTTAATCTATCCAGTATATTTTTTATAGTAGTATACTAATTAAAGAACATAACTAGTTGTGGTTATCATATAATTATCTAGTCTACAAGGTGAAGTTTAAAAAAGTATTTTTTTAAGAAGTATCTTGATATACATGAGTAATCCCATTGAGTTCAATTGGATTGTTAACAGGCATGAAGTTCCTCATGTGCAAGTGTTTTGCAGAATCTGGGCCAGTGTTTTCAAGAATCTTTTGTAAGATTGTAAATATAAGTTGTTCTTAGATTTTAAATATTTTGACATGTTTTAAAGTACTAGTCAGAATGCTATAATGGGAATGTTTGTGATAGGGATGAGTACAGTAGTTACCATTAGAAATCAACATTTATCCAAAATTACTGCACAGAGATCTC